GAAGCGGCACGGTAGTGGTTGTAGCAGCAGTGGTGGTTGTAGAAGCACTTGTGGTTGTTGGAGCAGTGCTTGTAGTTGGAGAAGCACTGGTATTGGTTGGAGTGACTGTGGTGGTTGGAGCAGTAGTCGTGGTGGTTGGAGAGGAGATTGTGGTTGGTGCAGCAGTAGTTGTGGTTGGAGGGGGTGCTCGTGGTGGTTGAGAAGCGTGGCGGTGGTTGGAGCAGCGCTGGTGGGGTTGGCAGCGCTTGTAGTTGGAGCGGCACCAGTAGAGGTTGGAGCAGCAGTGGTGGTTGAAGGGGTGCTCATGGTGGGTGAAGAAGCGCTGGTGGTTGTTGGAGCAGTGCTTGTAGTATGTGTGGCGCTCATGCTGGTTGGCGCAACGCTTGTAGTTGGAGAAGCACTGGTAGATGTTGGAGCAGCAGTGGTGGTTGGAGCAGCGCTTATGGTTGGAGCAGCGCTAGTGCTGGTTGTAGCATCGGTTGTAGTTGGAGAAGTACTGTTAGTGAATGGAGTGACTGTGGTGGTTCGAGGGGTGCTCGTGGTGGTTGTAGAAGCGCTCGTGGTTGTTGGAGCAGTGCTTATAGGTGGTGCGGCGTTAGTGCTGGTTGGAGCAGCGCTTGTAGTTGGAGAAAAAACTGGTAGTGGTTGGAGTGACTGTGGTTGGAGCAGTAGTCGTGGTGGTTGGAGAGGAGATTGTGTCGGTGCGGCAGTAGTTGTGGTTGGAGGGGTGCTCGTGGTGGTTGGAGCAGCGCTTGTAGTTGGAGCGGCACCAGTAGTGGTTGGAGCAGCAGTGGTGGTTGTAGAAGCGCTTGTGGTTGTTGGAGCAGTGCTTGTAGTTCGAGAAGCACTGGTAGTGGTTGGAGTGCCTGTGGTGGTTGGAGCAGTAGTCGTGGTGGTTGGAGAGGAGATTGTGGTTGGTGCGGCAGTAGTTGTGGTTGGAGGGGTGCTCGTGGTGGTTGTAGAAGCGCTGGTGGTGGTTGGAGCAGCGCTGGTGGTGGTTGGAGCAGCGCTTGTAGTTGGAGAAGTTCTACTAGTGGTTGGAGCAACTGTGGTGGTTGGAGGGGTGCTCGTGGTGGTTGTAGAAGCGCTCGTAGTGGTTGGAGTGACTGTGGTGGTTGGAGCAGTAGTCGTGGTGGTTGGAGAGGAGATTGTGGTTGGTGCGGCAGTAGTTGTGGTTGGAGGGGTGCTCGTGGTGGTTGTAGAAGCGCTGGTGGTGGTTGGAGCAGCGCTTGTAGTTGGAGTTGCACCAGTAGGTTGGAGCAGCAGTGGTGGTTTAGAAGCTTGTAGTGGTTGGAGCAGTGCTAGTAGTTGATGCGGCGCTCATGCTGGTTGGAGCAGCGCTTGTAGTTGGAGCAGCGCTAGTGCTGGTTGCAGCAGCGCTTGTAGTTGGAGCGGCACCAGTAGTGGTTGGAGCAGCAGTTGTGGTTGCAGAAGCGCTTGTAGTGGTTGCAGCAGTGCTAGTAGTTGGAGAAGCACTGGTAGTGGTTGGAGTGACTGTGGTGGTTGGAGGAGTAGTCGTGGTGGTTGGAGAGGAGATTGTGGTTGGTGCAGCAGTAGTTGTGGTTGGAGGGGTACTCGTGGTGGTTGTAGAAGCGCTGGTGTTGTTGGAGCAGCGCTTGTAGTTGGAGCGGCACCAGTAGTGGTTGGAGCAGCAGTGGTGGTTGTAGAAGCGCTTGTAGTGGTTGGAGCAGTGCTTGTAGTTGGAGCGGCACCGGTAGTGGTTGGAGGAGTAGTCGTGGTGGTTGGAGAGGAGATTGTGGTTGGTGCAGCAGTAGTTGTGGTTGGAGGGGTGCTCGTGGTGGTTGTAGAAGCGCTCGTGGTGGTTGTAGAAGCGCTGGTGGTGGTTGGAGCAGCGCTTGTAGTTGGAGTTGCACCAGTAGTGGTTGGAGCAGCAGTGGTGGTTGTAGAAGCGCTTGTAGTGGTTGGAGCAGTGCTAGTAGTTGATGCGGCGCTCATGCTGGTTGGAGCAGTGCTTGTAGTTGGAGCAGCGCTAGTGCTGGTTGCAGCAGCGCTTGTAGTTGGAGCGGCACCAGTAGTGGTTGGAGCAGCAGTTGTGGTTGCAGAAGCGCTTGTAGTGGTTGCAGCAGTGCTAGTAGTTGGAGAAGCACTGGTAGTGGTTAGAGTGACTGTGGTGGTTGGAGGAGTAGTCGTGGTGGTTGGAGAGGAGATTGTGGTTGGTGCAGCAGTACTTGTGGTTGGAGGGGTACTCGTGGTGGTTGTAGAAGCGCTGGTGGTTGTTGGAGCAGCGCTGGTGGTGGTTGGCAGCGCTTGTAGTTGGAGCGGCACCAGTAGTGGTTGGAGCAGCAGTGGTGGTTGTAGAAGCGCTTGTAGTGGTTGGAGCAGTGCTTGTAGTTGGAGCGGCACCGGTAGTGGTTGGAGCAGCAGTGGTGGTTGTAGAAGCACTGTGATTGTTGGAGCAGTGCTTGTAGTTGGAGAAGCACTGGTAGTGGTTGGAGTGACTGTGGTGGTTGTAGAAGCACTTGTGGTTGTTGGAGCAGTGCTTGTAGTTGGAGAAGCACTGGTAGTGGTTGGAGTGACTGTGGTGGTTGGAGAAGTAGTCGTGGTGGTTGGAGAGTTGATTGTGGTTGGTGCGGCAGTAGTTGTGGTTGGAGGGGTGCTCGTGGTGGTTGTAGAAGCGCTGATAGTGGTTGGACCAGCACTGGTGGTGGTTGGAGCAGCGCTGGTGGTGGTTGGAGCGGCACCAGTAGAGGTTGGAGCAGCAGTGGTGGTTGTAGAAGCGATTGTAGTGGTTGAAGCAATGCTTGTAGTTGGAGCGGCACCGGTAGTGGTTGGAGAAGCAGTGGTGGTTGTAGAAGCACTTCTGGTTGTTAGAGCAGTGCTTGTAGTTGGAAAAGCCCTGGTAGTGGTTAGAGTGACTGTGGTGGTTGGAGCAGTGCTTGTAGTTGAAGCGGCACCGGTAGTGGTTGTAGCAGCAGTGGTGGTTGTAGAAGCGCTTGTAGTGGTTGGAGGGGTGCTTGTAGTTGGAGAAGCACTGGTAGTGGTTGGAGCAACTGTGGTGGTTGGAGGGGTGCTCGTGGTGGTTGTAGAAGCGCTCGTAGTGGTTGGAGTGACTGTGGTGGTTGGAGAAGTAGTCGTGGTGGTTGGAGAGGAGATTGTGGTTGGTGCGGCAGTAGTTGTGGTTGGAGGGGTGCTCGTGGTGGTTGTAGAAGCACTGGTGGTGGTTGGAGCAGCGCTGGTGGTGGTTGGAGCAGCGCTTGTAGTTGGAAAAGTACTACTAGTGGTTGGAGCAACTGTGGTGGTTGTAGGGGTGCTCGTGGTGGTTGTAGAAGCGCTCGTAGTGGTTGGAGTGACTGTGGTGGTTGGAGCAGTAGTCGTGGTGGTTGGAGAAGAGATTGTGGTTGGTGCGGCAGTAGTTGTGGTTGGAGGGGTGCTCGTGATGGTTGTAGAAGCGCTGGTGGTGGTTGGAGCAGCGCTGGTGGTGGTTGGAGCAGCGCTTGTAGTTGGAGAAGTTCTACTAGTGGTTGGAGCAACTGTGGTGGTTGGAGGGGTGCTCGTGGTGGTTGGAACAGCGCTTGTAGTTGGAGTTGCACCAGTAGTGGTTGGAGCAGCAGTGGTGGTTGTAGAAGCGCTTGTAGTGGTTGGAGCAGTGCTAGTAGTTGATGCGGCGCTCATGCTGGTTGGAGCAGCGCTTGTAGTTGGAGCAGCGCTAGTGCTGGTTGCAGCAGCGCTTGTAGTTGGAGCGGCACCAGTAGTGGTTGGAGCAGCAGTTGTGGTTGCAGAAGCGCTTGTAGTGGTTGCAGCAGTGCTAGTAGTTGGAGAAGCACTGGTAGTGGTTGGAGTGACTGTGGTGGTTGGAGGAGTAGTCGTGGTGGTTGGAGAGGAGATTGTGGTTGGTGCAGCAGTACTTGTGGTTGGAGGGGTACTCGTGGTGGTTGTAGAAGCGCTGGTGGTTGTTGGAGCAGCGCTGGTGGTGGTTGGAGCAGCGCTTGTAGTTGGAGCGGCACCAGTAGTGGTTGGAGCAGCAGTGGTGGTTGTAGAAGCGCTTGTAGTGGTTGGAGCAGTGCTTGTAGTTGGAGCGGCACCGGTAGTGGTTGGAGCAGCAGTGGTGGTTGTAGAAGCACTTGTGGTTGTTGGAGCAGTGCTTGTAGTTGGAGAAGCACTGGTAGTGGTTGGAGTGACTGTGGTGGTTGGAGCAGTAGTCGTGGTGGTTGGAGAGGAGATTGTGGTTGGTGCGGCAGTAGTTGTGGTTGGAGGGGTGCTCGTGGTGGTTGTAGAAGCGCTGGTAGTGGTTGGACCAGCGCTGGTCGTGGTTGGAGCAGCGCTTGTAGTTGGAGCAGCGCTAGTGCTGGTTGCAGCAGCGGTTGTAGTTGGAGAAGTACTACTAGTGGTTGGAGGAACTGTGGCTGTTGGAGGGGTGCTCATGGTGGGTGTAAAAGCACTGGTGGTTGTTGGACCAGTGCTTGTAGTTGGTGCGGCGCTCATGCTGGTTGGCGCAACGCTTGTAGTTGTAGAAGCACTGGTAGATTTTTGGCGCGACTGTGGTGGTTGGAGCAGCAGTTGTAGTTGGAGAAGCACTGGTTGTACTTGGAGCAGCACCGGTACTTGTTGGAGCAGCAGTGGTGGTTGTAGAAGCGCTTGTAGTGGTTGGAGCAGCGCTGGTGGTGGTTGGAGCAGCGATGGTGGTGGTTGGAGCGGCACCAGTAGAGGATGGAGCAGCAGTGGTGGTTGTAGAAGCGCTTGTACTGGTTGAAGCAATGCTTGTAGTTGGAGCGGCACCGGTAGTGGTTGGAGAAGCAGTGGTGGTTGGAGAAGCACTTCTGGTTGTTGGAGCAGTGCTTGTAGTTGGAAAAGCCCTGGTAGTGGTTGGAGTGACTGTGGTGGTTGGAGCAGTGCTTGTAGTTGAAGCGGCACCGGTAGTGGTTGTAGCAGCAGTGGTGGTTGTAGAAGCACTTGTGGTTGTTGGAGCAGTGCTTGTAGTTGGAGAAGCACTGGTAGTGGTTGGAGTGACTGTGGTGGTTGGAGGAGTAGTCGTGGTGGTTGGAGAGGAGATTGTGGTTGGTGCAGCAGTAGTTGTGGTTGGAGGGGTGCTCGTGGTGGTTGTAGAAGCGCTGGTGGTGGTTGGAGCAGCGCTGGTGGTGGTTGGAGCAGCGCTGGTGGTGGTTGGAGCGGCACCAGTAGAGGATGGAGCAGCAGTGGTGGTTGTAGAAGCGATTGTAGTGGTTGAAGCAATGCTTGTAGTTGGAGCGGCACCGGTAGTGGTTGGAGAAGCAGTGGTGGTTGGAGAAGCACTTCTGGTTGTTGGAGCAGTGCTTGTAGTTGGAAAAGCCCTGGTAGTGGTTGGAGTGACTGTGGTGGTTGGAGCAGTGCTTGTAGTTGAAGCGGCACCGGTAGTGGTTGTAGCAGCAGTGGTGGTTGTAGAAGCACTTGTGGTTGTTGGAGCAGTGCTTGTAGTTGGAGAAGCACTGGTAGTGGTTGGAGTGACTGTGGTGGTTGGAGCAGTAGTCGTGGTGGTTGGAGAGGAGATTGTGGTTGGTGCAGCAGTAGTTGTGGTTGGAGGGGTGCTCGTGGTGGTTGTAGAAGCGCTGGTGGTGGTTGGAGCAGCGCTGGTGGTGGTTGGAGCAGCGCTTGTAGTTGGAGCGGCACCAGTAGAGGTTGGAGCAGCAGTGGTGGTTGAAGGGGTGCTCATGGTGGGTGAAGAAGCGCTGGTGGTTGTTGGAGCAGTGCTTGTAGTATGTGTGGCGCTCATGCTGGTTGGCGCAACGCTTGTAGTTGGAGAAGCACTGGTAGATGTTGGAGCAGCAGTGGTGGTTGGAGCAGCGCTTATGGTTGGAGCAGCGCTAGTGCTGGTTGTAGCATCGGTTGTAGTTGGAGAAGTACTGTTAGTGAATGGAGTGACTGTGGTGGTTCGAGGGGTGCTCGTGGTGGTTGTAGAAGCGCTCGTGGTTGTTGGAGCAGTGCTTATAGGTGGTGCGGCGTTAGTGCTGGTTGGAGCAGCGCTTGTAGTTGGAGAAAAACTGGTAGTGGTTGGAGTGACTGTGGTTGGAGCAGTAGTCGTGGTGGTTGGAGAGGAGATTGTGGTCGGTGCGGCAGTAGTTGTGGTTGGAGGGGTGCTCGTGGTGGTTGGAGCAGCGCTTGTAGTTGGAGCGGCACCAGTAGTGGTTGGAGCAGCAGTGGTGGTTGTAGAAGCGCTTGTGGTTGTTGGAGCAGTGCTTGTAGTTCGAGAAGCACTGGTAGTGGTTGGAGTGCCTGTGGTGGTTGGAGCAGTAGTCGTGGTGGTTGGAGAGGAGATTGTGGTTGGTGCGGCAGTAGTTGTGGTTGGAGGGGTGCTCGTGGTGGTTGTAGAAGCGCTGGTGGTGGTTGGAGCAGCGCTGGTGGTGGTTGGAGCAGCGCTTGTAGTTGGAGAAGTTCTACTAGTGGTTGGAGCAACTGTGGTGGTTGGAGGGGTGCTCGTGGTGGTTGTAGAAGCGCTCGTAGTGGTTGGAGTGACTGTGGTGGTTGGAGCAGTAGTCGTGGTGGTTGGAGAGGAGATTGTGGTTGGTGCGGCAGTAGTTGTGGTTGGAGGGGTGCTCGTGGTGGTTGTAGAAGCGCTGGTGGTGGTTGGAGCAGCGCTTGTAGTTGGAGTTGCACCAGTAGTGGTTGGAGCAGCAGTGGTGGTTGTAGAAGCGCTTGTAGTGGTTGGAGCAGTGCTAGTAGTTGATGCGGCGCTCATGCTGGTTGGAGCAGCGCTTGTAGTTGGAGCAGCGCTAGTGCTGGTTGCAGCAGCGCTTGTAGTTGGAGCGGCACCAGTAGTGGTTGGAGCAGCAGTTGTGGTTGCAGAAGCGCTTGTAGTGGTTGCAGCAGTGCTAGTAGTTGGAGAAGCACTGGTAGTGGTTGGAGTGACTGTGGTGGTTGGAGGAGTAGTCGTGGTGGTTGGAGAGGAGATTGTGGTTGGTGCAGAAGTAGTTGTGGTTGGAGGGGTACTCGTGGTGGTTGTAGAAGCGCTGGTGGTTGTTGGAGCAGCGCTTGTAGTTGGAGCGGCACCAGTAGTGGTTGGAGCAGCAGTGGTGGTTGTAGAAGCGCTTGTAGTGGTTGGAGCAGTGCTTGTAGTTGGAGCGGCACCGGTAGTGGTTGGAGCAGCAGTGGTGGTTGTAGAAGCACTTGTGGTTGTTGGAGCAGTGCTTGTAGTTGGAGAAGCACTGGTAGTGGTTGGAGTGACTGTGGTGGTTGTAGAAGCACTTGTGGTTGTTGGAGCAGTGCTTGTAGGTGGAGAAGCACTGGTAGTGGTTGGAGTGACTGTGGTGGTTGGAGCAGTAGTCGTGGTGGTTGGAGAGGAGATTGTGGTTGGTGCGGCAGTAGTTGTGGTTGGAGGGGTGCTCGTGGTGGTTGTAGAAGCGCTGATAGTGGTTGGACCAGCACTGGTGGTGGTTGGAGCAGCGCTTGTAGTTGGAGCGGCACCAGTAGAGGTTGGAGCAGCAGTGGTGGTTGTAGAAGCGATTGTAGTGGTTGAAGCAGTGCTTGTAGTTGGAGCGGCACCGGTAGTGGTTGGAGCAGCAGTGGTGGTTGTAGAAGCGCTTGTAGTTGTTGGAGCAGCGCTAGTGCTGTTTGCAGCAGCGGTTGTAGTTGGAGAAGTACTACTAGTGGTTGGAGGAACTGTGGTGGTTGGATGGGTGCTCATGGTGGGTGTAGAAGCACTGGTGGTTGTTGGACCAGTGCTTGTAGTTGGTGCGGCGCTCATGCTGGTTGGCGCAACGCTTGTAGTTGGAGAAGCACTGGTAGATGTTGGCGCGACTGTGGTGGTTGGAGAAGCAGTTGTAGTTGGAGAAGCACTGGTTGTACTTGGAACAGCACCGGTGCTGGTTGAAGCAGAAGTGGTGGTTGTAGAAGCGCTTGTAGTGGTTGGAGCAGTGCTTGTAGTTGATGTGGTGCTCTTGCTGGTTGGAGCAGCGCTTGTAGTTGGAGAAGTACTACTAGTGGTTGGAGCAACTGTGGTGGTTGGAGGGGTGCTCGTGGTGGTTGTAGAAGCGCTCGTAGTGGTTGGAGTGACTGTGGTGGTTGGAGAAGTAGTCGTGGTGGTTGGAGAGGAGATTGTGGTTGGTGCGGCAGTAGTTGTGGTTGTAGAAGCGCTGGTGGTGGTTGGAGCAGCGCTTGTAGTTGGAGCGGCACCAGTAGTGGTTGGAGCAGCAGTGGTGGTTGTAGAAGCGCTTGTAGTGGTTGGAGCAGTGCTAGTAGTTGATGCGGCGCTCATGCTGGTTTGAGCAGCGCTTGTAGTTGGAGCGGCGCTAGTGCTGCTTACAGCAGCGCTTGTCGTTGGAGAAGTACTATTAGTGGTTGTAGCAACTGTGGTGGTTGGAGGGGTGCTCATGGTGGGTGTAGAAGTGCTGGTGGTTGTTGGAGCAGTGCTTGTAGTTGGTGCGGCGCTCATGCTGGTTGGCGCAACGCTTGTAGTTGGAGAAGCACTGGTAGATGTTGCTGCAACTGTGCTGGTTGGAGCAGCACTTGTAGTTGGAGAAGCACTGGTTGTACTTGGAGCAGCACCGGTACTGGTTGGAGCAGCAGTGGTGGTTGTAGAAGCGATTGTAGTGGTTGAAGCAGTCCTTGTAGTTGGAGCAGCACCGGTAGTGGTTGGAGCAGCAGTGGTGGTTGTAGAAGCACTTGTGGTTGTTGGAGCAGTAGTTGTGGTGGTTGGAGAGGAGATTGTGGTTTGTGCGGATGTAGTTGTGGTTGGAGGGGTGCTCGTGGTGGTTGTAGAAGCGCTGGTGGTGGTTGGAGCAGCGCTTGTAGTTGGAGTTGCACCAGTAGTGGTTGGAGCAGCAGTGGTGGTTGTAGAAGCGCTTGTAGTGGTTGGAGCAGTGCTAGTAGTTGATGCGGCGCTCATGCTGGTTGGAGCAGCGCTTGTAGTTGGAGCAGCGCTAGTGCTGGTTGCAGCAGCGCTTGTAGTTGGAGCGGCACCAGTAGTGGTTGGAGCAGCAGTTGTGGTTGCAGAAGCGCTTGTAGTGGTTGGAGCAGTGCTAGTAGTTGGAGAAGCACTGGTAGTGGTTGGAGTGACTGTGGTGGTTGGAGGAGTAGTCGTGGTGGTTGGAGAGGAGATTGTGGTTGGTGCAGAAGTAGTTGTGGTTGGAGGGGTACTCGTGGTGGTTGTAGAAGCACTGGTTGTACTTGGAACAGCACCGGTGCTGGTTGAAGCAGAAGTGGTGGTTGTAGAAGCGCTTGTAGTGGTTGGAGCAGTGCTTGTAGTTGATGTGGTGCTCTTGCTGGTTGGAGCAGCGCTTGTAGTTGGAGAAGTACTACTAGTGGTTGGAGCAACTGTGGTGGTTGGAGGGGTGCTCGTGGTGGTTGTAGAAGCGCTCGTAGTGGTTGGAGTGACTGTGGTGGTTGGAGAAGTAGTCGTGGTGGTTGGAGAGGAGATTGTGGTTGGTGCGGCAGTAGTTGTGGTTGGAGGGGTGCTCGTGGTGGTTGGAGCAGCGCTTGTAGTTGGAGCGGCACCAGTAGTGGTTGGAGCAGCAGTGGTGGTTGTAGAAGCGCTTGTAGTGGTTGGTGCAGTGCTAGTAGTTGATGCGGCGCTCATGCTGGTTGGAGCAGCGCTTGTAGTTCGAGCAGCGCTAGTGCTGGTTGCAGCAGCGGTTGTAGTTGGAGAAGTACGACTAGTGGTTGGAGCAACTGTGGTGGTTGGAGGGGTGCTCATGGTGGGTGTAGAAGCGCTGGTGGTTGTTGGAGCATTGCTTGTAGTTGTAGAAGCACTGGTTGTACTTGGAAGAGCACCGGTACTGGTTGGAGCAGCAGTGGTGGTTGTAGAAGCACTTGTGGTTGTTGGAGCAGTGTTTGTAGTTGGAGAAGCACTGGCAGTGGTTGGAGTGACTGTGGTGGTTGGAGTAGTAGTCGTGGTGGTTGGAGGGGAGATGGTGGTTGGTGTGGCAGTAGTTGTGGTTAGAGGGGTGCTCGTGGTGGTTGTAGAAGCGCTGGTGGTGGTTGGAGCAGCGCTTGTAGTTGGAGCGGCACCAGTAGTGGTTGGAGCAGCAGTGGTGGTTGTAGAAGCGCTTGTAGTGGTTGGAGCAGTGCTAGTAGTTGATGCGGCGCTCATGCTGGTTTGAGCAGCGCTTGTAGTTGGAGCGGCGCTAGTGGTGCTTACAGCAGCGCTTGTCGTTGGAGAAGTACTATTAGTGGTTGTAGCAACTGTGGTGGTTGGAGGGGTGCTCATGGTGGGTGTAGAAGTGCTGGTGGTTGTTGGAGCAGTGCTTGTAGTTGGTGCGGCGCTCATGCTGGTTGGCGCAACGCTTGTAGTTGGAGAAGCACTGGTAGATGTTGCTGCAACTGTGCTGGTTGGAGCAGCACTTGTAGTTGGAGAAGCACTGGTTGTACTTGGAGCAGCACCGGTACTGGTTGGAGCAGCAGTGGTGGTTGTAGAAGCGATTGTAGTGGTTGAAGCAGTCCTTGTAGTTGGAGCAGCACCGGTAGTGGTTGGAGCAGTGCTAGTAGTTGATGCGGCGCTCATGCTGGTTGGAGCAGCGCTTGTAGTTGGAGCAGCACTAGTGCTGGTTGCAGCAGCGCTTGTAGTTGGAGCGGCACCAGTAGTGGTTGGAGCAGCAGTTGTGGTTGCAGAAGCGCTTGTAGTGGTTGCAGCAGTGCTAGTAGTTGGAGAAGCACTGGTAGTGGTTGGAGTGACTGTGGTGGTTGGAGGAGTAGTCGTGGTGGTTGGAGAGGAGATTGTGGTTGGTGCAGAAGTAGTTGTGGTTGGAGGGGTACTCGTGGTGGTTGTAGAAGCGCTGGTGGTTGTTGGAGCAGCGCTTGTAGTTGGAGCGGCACCAGTAGTGGTTGGAGTAGCAGTGGTGGTTGTAGAAGCGCTTGTAGTGGTTGGAGCAGTGCTTGTAGTTGGAGCGGCACCGGTAGTGGTTGGAGCAGCAGTGGTGGTTGTAGAAGCACTTGTGGTTGTTGGAGCAGTGCTTGTAGTTGGAGAAGCACTGGTAGTGGTTGGAGTGACTGTGGTGGTTGTAGAAGCACTTGTGGTTGTTGGAGCAGTGCTTGTAGGTGGAGAAGCACTGGTAGTGGTTGGAGTGACTGTGGTGGTTGGAGCAGTAGTCGTGGTGGTTGGAGAGGAGATTGTGGTTGGTGCGGCAGTAGTTGTGGTTGGAGGGGTGCTCGTGGTGGTTGTAGAAGCGCTGATAGTGTTTGGACCAGCACTGGTGGTGGTTGGAGCAGCGCTTGTAGTTGGAGCGGCACCAGTAGAGGTTGGAGCAGCAGTGGTGGTTGTAGAAGCGATTGTAGTGGTTGAAGCAGTGCTTGTAGTTGGAGCGGCACCGGTAGTGGTTGGAGCAGCAGTGGTGGTTGTAGAAGCGCTTGTAGTTGTTGGAGCAGCGCTAGTGCTGGTTGCAGCAGCGGTTGTAGTTGGAGAAGTACTACTAGTGGTTGGAGGAACTGTGGTGGTTGGATGGGTGCTCATGGTGGGTGTAGAAGCACTGGTGGTTGTTGGACCAGTGCTTGTAGTTGGTGCGGCGCTCATGCTGGTTGGCGCAACGCTTGTAGTTGGAGAAGCACTGGTAGATATTGGCGCGACTGTGGTGTTTGGAGAAGCAGTTGTAGTTGGAGAAGCACTGGTTGTACTTGGAACAGCACCGGTGCTGGTTGAAGCAGAAGTGGTGGTTGTAGAAGCGCTTGTAGTGGTTGGAGCAGTGCTTGTAGTTGATGTGGCGCTCTTGCTGGTTGGAGCAGCGCTTGTAGTTGGAGAAGTACTACTAGTGGTTGGAGCAACTGTGGTGGTTGGAGGGGTGCTCGTGGTGGTTGCAGAAGCGCTCGTAGTGGTTGGAGTGACTGTGGTGGTTGGAGAAGTAGTCGTGGTGGTTGGAGAGGAGATTGTGGTTGGTGCGGCAGTAGTTGTGGTTGGAGGGGTGCTCGTGGTGGTTGGAGCAGCGCTTGTAGTTGGAGCGGCACCGGTAGTGGTTGGAGCAGCAGTGGTGGTTGTAGAAGCGCTTGTAGTGGTTGGTGCAGTGCTAGTAGTTGATGCGGCGCTCATGCTGGTTGGAGCAGCGCTTGTAGTTGGAGCAGCGCTAGTGCTGGTTGCAGCAGCGGTTGTAGTTGGAGAAGTACGACTAGTGGTTGGAGCAACTGTGGTGGTTGGAGGGGTGCTCATGGTGGGTGTAGAAGCGCTGGTGGTTGTTGGAGCATTGCTTGTAGTTGTAGAAGCACTGGTTGTACTTGGAAGAGCACCGGTACTGGTTGGAGCAGCAGTGGTGGTTGTAGAAGCACTTGTGGTTGTTGGAGCAGTGTTTGTAGTTGGAGAAGCACTGGCAGTGGTTGGAGTGACTGTGGTGGTTGGAGTAGTAGTCGTGGTGGTTGGAGGGGAGATGGTGGTTGGTGTGGCAGTAGTTGTGGTTAGAGGGGAGCTCGTGGTGGTTGTAGAAGCGCTGGTGGTGGTTGGAGCAGCGCTTGTAGTTGGAGCGGCACCAGTAGTGGTTGGAGCAGCAGTGGTGGTTGTAGAAGCGCTTGTAGTGGTTGGAGCAGTGCTAGTAGTTGATGCGGCGCTCATGCTGGTTTGAGCAGCGCTTGTAGTTGGAGCGGCGCTAGTGCTGCTTACAGCAGCGCTTGTCGTTGGAGAAGTACTATTAGTGGTTGTAGCAACTGTGGTGGTTGGAGGGGTGCTCATGGTGGGTGTAGAAGTGCTGATGGTTGTTGGAGCAGTGCTTGTAGTTGGTGCGGCGCTCATGCTGGTTGGCGCAGCGCTTGTAGTTGGAGAAGCACTGGTAGATGTTGCTGCAACTGTGCTGGTTGGAGCAGCACTTGTAGTTGGAGAAGCACTGGTTGTACTTGGAGCAGCACCGGTACTGGTTGGAGCAGCAGTGGTGGTTGTAGAAGCGATTGTAGTGGTTGAAGCAGTCCTTGTAGTTGGAGCAGCACCGGTAGTGGTTGGAGCAGCAGTGGTGGTTGTAGAAGCACTTGTGGTTGTTGGAGCAGTAGTTGTGGTGGTTGGAGAGGAGATTGTGGTTTGTGCGGATGTAGTTGTGGTTGGAGGGGTGCTCGTGGTGGTTGTAGAAGCGCTGGTGGTGGTTGGAGCAGCGCCGGTGCTTGTTGGAGCAGTGCTGGTAGTTTGTGCGGCGCTCGTGCTTGTTGGTGCAGCGCTTGTAGTTGGAGAAGTACTGCTAGTGGTTGGAGCGACTGTGGTGGTTGGAAGGGTGCTCGTGGTGGTTGGGGAAGTGCTTGTGGTGGTTGTAGATGCGCTCTTGGTTGTTGGAGCAGTGCTTGTAGTTGGAGAAGCACTCGTAGTGGTTGGAGTGACTGTGGTGGTTGGAGCAGTAGTCGTGGTGGTTGGAGAAGAGATTGTGGTTGGTGCGGATGTAGTTGTGGTTGGAGGGGTGCTCATGGTGGTTGGGGAAGTGTTCGTGGTGGTTGTAGAAGCGCTCGTGGTTGTTGGAGCAGTGCTTGTAGTTGGAGAATTACTGCTAGTGGTTGGAGCAACTGTGGTGGTTAGAAGGGTGCTTGTGGTGGTTGGGGAAGTGTTCGTGGTGGTTGTAGAAGCGCTCGTGGTTGTTGGAGCAGTGCTTGTAGTTGGAGAATTACTGCTAGTGGTTGGAGCAACTGTGGTGGTTGGAGCAGTAGTCGTGGTGTTTGGAGAAGAGATTGTGGTTGGTGTGGATGTAGTTGTGGTTGGAGGGGTGCTTGTGGTGGTTGGAGCAGTGCTAGTAGTTGATGCGGTGCTCATGTTGGTTGGAGCAGTGCTTGTAGTTGGAGCGGCGCTAATGCTGGTTGTAGCAGCGCTTGTAGTTGGAGAAGTACTGCTAGTCGTTGGAGCGACTGTGGTGGTTGTAGGGGTGCTCGTGGTGGTTGGGGAAGTGCTCATGGTGGTTGTAGAAGCGTTCGTGGTTGTTGGAGCAGTGCTTATAGGTGGTGCGCCATTCGTGCTGGTTGCAGCAGCGCTTGTAGTTGGAGAAGCACTGCTAGTGGTTGGAGCGAATGTGGTGGTTGGAGGGGTGCTCATGGTGGTTGGGGAAGTGTTCGTGGTGGTTGTAGAAGCGCTCGTGGTTGTTGGAGCAGTGCTTGTAGTTGGAGAATTACTGCTAGTGGTTGGAGCGACTGTGGTGGTTAGAAGGGTGCTTGTGGTTGTTGGGGAAGTGCTTGTGGTGGTTGTTGATGCGCTCGTGGTTGTTGGAGCAGTGCTTGTAGTTGGAGAAGCACTGGTAGTGGTTGGAGTGACTGTGGTGGTTGTAGAAGCGCTTGTGGTAGTTGGAGCAGAGCTTGTAGTTGGAGTAGTGCTTGAGGAGGTTGGAGAAGGGCTCGTGGTGGTTGGAGCAGTGCTTGTTGTAGTAGCGGCACTCGTGCTTTTTGGAGCAACACTTGTAGTTGGAGCCGTACTGGTAGTGGTTGGAGCGACTGTGGTGGTTGGACGGGTGCTCGTGGTGGTTGGAGAGGTTCTTGTGGTGGTTGGAGAAGTGTTTGTGGTTGGGACTATTGTAGTGGTGGTTGGAGAATCGCTTGTGCTGGTTGGAGTACTGCTTGTGGTTGGAGCAGAAGTGGTAACTGTTGGAGCAGCATTGGTGGTTGGTGCAGTTGTGGTAGTGGTTGGAGCGGCAGTGATGGTTGGAGCCGTACTCATGGTGGTTGGAGCGGTGCTCGTGGTGGTTGGAGTTGGTGCGGCGCTCATGCTGGTTGGAACAGTGCTTGTAGTTGTAGTAGAACTGATAGTCGTTGGAGCAACTCTGGTGGTTGGAGTGGTGCTCGTGGTGGATGGGGCAATGTTTGTGGTTGGGGCTGGGATGGTAGTGGTTGGACTGGAGCCTGTGGGGTTTGGAGAAGTGTTCGTGGTGGTTGGAGCAGTGCTTGTGGTGGTTGGAGCAGCACTTGTAGTTGGAGCAGGACTGGTAGTGGTTGGAGCGGCTGTGGTGGTTGGAGTGTTGCTTGTAGTTGGTGCGGCGCTCATGCTGGTTGGAGCAGTGGTTGTGGGTGCAGTAGTGTTGGTTGGAGGGGTGCTTGTGGTCGATGGAGAAGTGCTCGTAGTCGAGGGAGCAGTGCTTGAGGTTGGTGAGGTGGTTGGAGTGCTTGTAGCAGCGCTCGTGGGGGTTGGAGCGGTGCTCGTGGTGGTTGGAGCGGTGCTTGGGGTTGTTGGAGCGGTGCTTGTAGTAGTTGGAGAAGTTCTTGTGGTTGGAGTCGTGGTTGTGATGGTTGGAGTGGTGTGCGTGGTGGTTGCGGCAGCGGTAGTGGTGGTTGGAGGGGTGCCCGTGGTGGTAAGAGAAGTGCTTGTAGTTGGTGCAGCGCCTGTGCTGGTTGGAGCAGGGCTTGTAGTTGGAATAGAACTGATAGTGGTTGGAGCAACTGTGGTGGTTGGAGCAACTGTGGTGGTTGGAGCAGCGCTCGTGCGGGTCAGAGCAGCACTTGTAGTTGGAGCGGCACTTGTAGTGGTTGGAGAAACAGTGGTGTTTGGAGTGGAGCTCGTGGGTGTTGGAGCAGCACTTGTAGTAGGAGTGGGACTGGTAGTGGTTGGAGCGGCTGTGGTGGTTGGAGTGGTGCTTGTGAATGTGGCGGTGGTAGTGGTGGTTGGAGCAGCGCTTTCAGTTGGAAAAGCACTGGCAGTGGTTGGAGCGACTGTGCTGGTTGTAGTGGTGCTCGTGCTGGTTGGAGCAGTGCTTGTGGTTGGTGCGGCAGTAATGGTGGTTGGAGTGGTGCCCATTGTGGATGGAGTGGTACTTGTGGTGGTTAGAGTTGTGCTCATAGTGGTTGGAGGGGTGCTTGTGATGGTTGGAGCAGCGCTTGTGGTGGTTGGAGGGGTGTTCGTGCTGGTTGGAGTGGTGCTTGTGGTGGTAGGAGCAGTGCTTGTAGTTGGAGCGGCACTGTTAGTGGTTGGAGGGGCACTAGTAGTTGGAGCAGTACTCGTGGTGGTTGGAACAGCTGTGGTTGGGGTAGTTGCTGTTGGCCTGGTGAAGGCAGAGGTTTCTGGACAAGGGCTCTTGGTGGTTGTGGAGGAACTGGTCATCAGGGCAGAAGTGGATGTTAAGCATGTTGGAGCAGCTGTTGTGTGTGACGGATCAGCGGTTTTGTCTCCAGTAAATGGAACATCAGGAATTTCATTGAATCCCCACAACTCTGAGATTTGTTGTTCTGTTTCTGAAATAGAAGGCTGTTCAGGAACTGTTAGGAGCGGTGAAAGAGAAATCTCCTCAAAGCCCCAAAGGTTGAAATAGTCGTGTTGGTCCGGAGCTTCCGGGTGATGATCATGCTCCTTTATACTTTCTGCTTTGAAACAAGCCGCCAGCATCCCCCACATTTCCCCAGCAGAGTCTCCATAAATCATCTCAAAGATGGAATCCTGCAAAACATTCAGTTATTATCTCTGACCCTAATCTTTTACAAACTGGATCATGGTGAATCTTCCTTACCGCGTCAGCTGCCGTCGATATCTCCACCAACACTCCGCCGGGGATGTTTGTTGTGAGCGCTCTCCCAACTACCCCCTCTTCACCCAGAGCTTTGACCCTCTTCAGACTTGTTCCATGAGGCAGTTTCACAGTGACGGCTGTCGTTCTGCACGTCACCAGTGGCGACGCCGGTTGCAGTGACGTTGCCGGATTCTCGCAGGCGGCCACAGCCGTCACGCTCGCCTGCAGCAGGTGGTCGAAATAACGCAGTTTCAACTGGTGAAACCACGTTCCATTAGAAGTCTGCAGAGAAAGAAACAACTGTCACCGGGAGCACCAAGTTCTATCAGCCAGTTAGCCAGGTTTTAATCTTAATTAACATTAGTAAGTACGATTAACGGATTAATCATTCAGTTTGTTCAATGTCAAATAATAGTGAAGACATTAATCTGTTTGTATCTCTGTCTGTTTCATCCCAAAAACCCTGAAGACGTTTAGTTTAATATAATAAGACAAGAAAGAAGAAAGCCAATTTTAACAGCTGGGAAACTGGAAGCAGTAAATAGTTTCTTTAGCTTAAATAAGAGAGAGTCGATCTACTCATCAATTCAGCTCTACATCTTTTTTAAATTCCTTCCTTTAAAGAAAGAATGAAGAGGTCGTGTTAGCTCAAATTCTACAATTTGGCTACCTCAGCAGTTAGCTCGAATACTACAATATTTTTTATGTGTGTTTATGTTTTATTTATTGTAAGTCTCACTGTGATCTGTTCTGCAGTTTCTCGTTTGTAACATTTCATATCTTACATTTACATTTTATCCAAAGCAACTTATAATTGCCACTATCTCACACCAACATCAACACAAGCTGATGCTTTTATCCAAAGTGACTTGCTGTACACGTTTACCGAGAAGCCGGTAAACGGTTCACAGGGATGAAAGGGAACGAGCTGTTTTCAGTTCAGTTCTGCACGTCTGGAGCAGCGAGGGGTTAAGTGTCTCAGGGACGCAATGGTGGATGGTGAAAACTCTGCTCTGAACTGAAAACAGCTCGTTTGTAGTCCAGCCACTTCCCTTTCATCCCTGTGAACCGTTTACCGGCTTCTCACTGACCTGCCCTTCTCTGCTTCTGATTGGCTAGTAGTCCTTAACTAGGAACTGCGCATGTGCAACTCCCAACAAAGATCATTTAGAGACAAGATGTATCACTCCATAGCTAAAACGAAGCCTTCAGCACAGGGTGGAAAGAGGAGCTGCAGCAATGTGCATGTTGACAAAAATATGGCGTTTTTTAAAAATTAAACCATGTAAACTTGTTCTGGTACAACCCCTAAATAAGATTTTGAACGTGAAAATGAGCAGAATAACACCTCTTGGACTGTGGAAAGTTGCTACAGCTGAGAGACACGTGAAGAAAAAAGCAACATTTCTCTCTATAGAAACTCAAGAACCTAAGAACTGCTGTTCTCTGTAGGAAATAATTTGTTTCCGGACATATTTTCATCCCAAAGGAGGCAAGTTGGCTGCAATGTTTTTACCCATAATGCCAAGTGGCAGCTGGTATAAGGGAGCTTCAGCAGCAGCCATGGTCCAAAGGTACGAACAGAACCATGGCATCCGTCCAGCCGGGACAGCAACCGGTTCCCGTCTGAAAAGAGACATCAGCATCAGCAGGTTATTCAGACAGAAGCAGCCCTGCTGGGGGCGCCGCAACACAACTCTTTAAACCTGTAGTTCATGTGTCTTTGTGAGCTTCATATGAGGCTTAATGTTCAGAATTTCTCTTCTCACTGAACATAGCGGTAGTAATCTGGTGTCTGTGCCGATGTTTCAGTGCTGGTGAACCGGTAGTGATGTTGTACTGATACTGACTATTGATACAGCCAACCTACAGAGGGCACTATTTAGTTGCATGTAAAAAGAGGTTGAGCAATTAAGCACTCTTGAGAATGGCAGTCTTTGTGCACAGTCCAGTCAATACAGATGTGTTTTACGCTGAGCAGTGATTGGTTTAACAGAGCTGAAGCGGCATGTGGGTACAGTGTGGTGTAATTACTCACTGCCAGCAGGGGGAGACAGAAGCTCCACACAAGGGGTTAAGCGAGAGGGCGAACAATGAAGCAGACAAAATCCTGCATTGAGGGTTCCATGTAGGCCCAAAATTGACAGCATAACCCTGTGAGATCCTGTCACATGTGAGAGCTCTAACCATATTGTTTAGATAAGAAGCCCTCTGGGAATCTAAAAAACCATTCAGCCATCAATGACGCTACGTTCCTGTTTGGGGGGTGGTGATGGGGCAGTGGATAAGACACATGCCTTTGGTGTGAGAGATCCGGTTTTGAAAATGAAGGGGAAAAAATTAAGGTGGCAGGTGACAATTCAAAATATAAAAATATAACAGAATATAATTCAGAAATCAGCTTTTGGACAATGCACATTTGTTTCTTCTATATTTCAGTTGCACTGCATGTTTCCTTATTGTGCATTGTTTCATTTGTTATTTAACATTTAACATTTGTTGTTGCTGTTGTTCAGAACATTTTTAACAAAAGCTTTCGAAAAGTGATGAAAACAGTCTCATGGTGTTTTGTTTTCTTGGTATTGTCTAATACCAAGAAAAGGGGTTTATAAGGTGTAATATTTACAAAAGGCCTGCATCTTGCACTAACTTAAGTGTTTTCAACATACTTTACTTGGGCGGGCCGGACAGGTATAGTAGCATCTGCCAAAGGATATTTGGCAACCCACTTTAGCATTTTGCAGAGAAACGGTGAGGGAGAGGTCATCTGGTATTACGTCAACAGACGCGCAGGAAATGTTACATTACGGAGTGACAGTGAACGCACCACTGCAGATGTCACTCACTAACGTTAAGTTTCAGTTTCGATCCACATGCGGCGCACTTGAAAACTGAATCAGGGGTGAGTTTATTAAACACGGCGACTTTATGAAACATACTGCTGATGGAGAAAGTCAGCAGAAACACATTAAGGGAGAGAGAGACAGAAAGAGGCGGAGCAAGGCGGCTCTTTGTAATGTTGTTTACAGAGACCCAACAATTCCCACCGTTAGCAAGCACTAGGCGACAGAGGCAAAGAAAAACTTCCTTTTTAGAGGCAGAAACCTCGAGCAGCCCCGTGGCTCAGGGTGGGTAATAATAACAGGACTAGTTATAGTTGTAGCAGTGGATGTTGTGCAGGAACAGGAGGGCAGCAGGCGACAGAGAGGAGAGACTCTGTCTCTGTTGGACGACTGACTGACGCAGCTGTCTGGTCTCCTGGGCAAGCCAAGGTCGACATTATCTTTATTTTGTTCCATACACACAGACTGATGCATAGAGGGCTGAACAATAATCTTACTTTGTGAATCTCTGTAGGTCTAAGAAGGACAAATCTATCCCCCGACAGGAAGTACCCTTCGGATTGGTTTTGGTGTTACACCATATCCGTGTTCTGTTGCCAGTCTCACCGGCCGGAGTCAATAAACACTGCTGTGTTGGACGTCATGAGTTTTCCTCAGACGAACGCTGGACGATATGAAATGCAAATCACTCGATTGAACATCGGACAAGGATTGTACTGGAAATATGCTCGACTATTAAAGGAGCGATATTTTCTTGATTCAAAGCACACCAACACCGTTATGAACACACGCCGAAACAACAGACACGGTCAAAGTACGTCGGTTGGAGGTTCTGAATTTTGGTTTTGATTATTTTTCAATTAATCGTCCAGCCCTAGTACAAAATGTAGTTTATTTTGTCTTGCCATGTTTGTGTTTGAAGAGATAAAAAATCTGTGTAGTTTCTTTAATTTGACTGCGATCTTCTAAGACTAAATTAGGATTCAGGTCTGGGGACGGGTCCTGGATGATCCTTCTGAGAGCAATGTTTGGAAAAAGCCATGAAGTCAAAGTTCAACAAAAACCCCAGTCCAGCAGTAACACAGTGAGCGATATAAGGTCTGGGTAAAGGGCGGCGGTTGGTCAGTAGTTTGAGACTGTGTTAACCCCTGCAGCCACCCGAGGAGGAGGAACAACAGGTTCTGGGGGGAAGCTTCGGGCTGTTCTCGACAGACAGGACGCACCGTGACGGTAATTCTTCAGGAAGACGTTCTGTGGTGAACTCACGTGGCTCGTTTGGGCGGCCGTTCCAACATGTACCCTGCTTCTGCTGAATGAGTAAGCAGGCCGGGGCTTGGCTGGAACTGGAAACACTGAGTTACTGCTGGAGGAGGTGTTGGTGGGCCAGGAGGGGGCTTCGCTCTGCTCATAATACTAGGTGCCTTTGACTTCATGCGGCGCTGCGCAGCTCTGACTTAACGTGGTGCATGCTGGTTAGAAATTGTGTGCGACTTTCGAAGGCGCTGCAAATCATCACCATGTCACAATGTTGTGGGAGCAAGGCAGCTGCAGGTGCTTTTCAGTCTAACATGATCTGCAGGAGCGGGGAATAAAAACCGGCGCCGTCGAGTCAGAGACATTCTACCTGCGTGAGCTTACTGTTAGCTGAGATCAATGACTGATCTCACAGCATTTGCAAAGAGAAATGCCGCGAGATTCGTTTTCTTGACCAAATCAGGCTTTTCAGGTGGTTCAAGTAACTGTGGCCGCCAGACTCGGCGCCTTTGAAATGTGACATGGTGGCATTTTGCAGCGCCGGCTAAAGTCGGACAACATTTGTAACCAGCATGCATCACGTTAAGTCAGCGCATGAAGACATCACAAACACATCTACTAAGAGACTGATCAAATTAATAATAGAGTTTACTGATTGTGTTTAAGGTCCCCGGTTTTCCATAAAATGTTATAGTGCCCCTAGAACGAGTGTTTGAAGGCAAAAGCACATGCCTGGATTTAGCTGAGGCTACTATTTGCCCTGATTCAAGAGATGTATTGATTCATGACATCATCCAGTAGGCCTACACGACATGAGGAACATCTGCCCTGTGAATAACATTGTTCAGTATTGCGATGACGATATGACTTGTGATAAATAAACTAAATAAAGTGTGTAAACGACCTGCCTGGTCTTTAAATTTGATACAGGATTACAAGTTAATATTTGAAACCTAACCAAATGTCTCTAGAGCAGCAACAGTAAAGTTTACAGCAGCAAAGACACTAGATAAATTCAATATCTCAGTGGAAACAAATCCAACTTGTGAAATAAATGTCAGTGAAGCTTAGAAAGAACTCTGACATCAGTCGTTCCCTCCTCCTCCTCTTCCTCCCTCTCCACTGTGATTCACCTCTTCGTGTAGAAGTCAAAGTGAAATGTTTGTAATGGTCTCTACGGGAAACACAGCATGGGCAGCAGGTCGAAGGAAAAGCGGGATGTGAGTCTGTGAACTGACCATTTTCCTGACTGATCACTTCTCAGATCAGTGGACGAATCAAACTCACCTTCCAGACGCAGATCAGAGTGTCGGATGAGCGAGAAGCGAACAGACAGCGACGCGTCACCGCACAGATACTGAGGCCAGCCGAAGTCTCCCGCCTCCGGATCGCAGGTGAGCTCCAAGCCTGAAACACCAGAACATCATGTGACAGGAAGCAAGTGAAGAAACGTTTGGTTTATATAATTTCTCCATCAGAGGCAAAAACTCTAAGACTCTAAGTCACGAGCGCAACATCAAATGTTTAATAAAGGAAAACTTTATGAATCTTTCAATTTAAATAAAACACTTGTGATGGTAAAATACAGTATTTACACTATAATAAAAAACTGAGGGCTTTCACCTCCACAACTTTATTGTTCTAAAAACTAAATGTTAAAGTCTGTAGAACATCTTTCTCTTCGTAACATGAGGCTGAATCGAGTGAATTTTCAGCCGCTGCTTCACTCATTTCTGGAAAAGTCCCAGAACCTTTTCTGTTTGAAGCCTTCAAGTTTAAAGTTTAAAATAATCTCCAGCATTAAATGAACTCTGCACATTCAGCTGTTTGCACATTTCATTCCTCTTTTTAATAAGAGTTTAGAGGAAAAGTTAGTGAAAGCAGGTGTGTGTGTCAAAGGAGCTTTTAATTCATTGAAATTCCAGAATCTAAACCTTAAATTACAAACCAATCATTCAGCAGTCAGTGATCAATAATACCTGAAGGAGAAAACATTCAAGATGGTACAGTAGGGGAGACCGGCTGTGGTTGTAACACTTTTTGCTTCAGCAACTATAACTCACTGAATACTTTAGCTAGAGTTGTCAAATATTTATACAAAGTACCCAAATGTGTTCACTACAAAAGGTACCAATTCAATCCTCTACAAGAACATCACAGACCTGCAAGTTGATGTCAAATGCTGGGGTAGGTTGTAACAATCACACAAAAGAATCAAAACTAGATGCCACAATATATGATAAGTTTCCAAAACAGGTGGTGATATAAAAGAACAAGGTTTTCTCTTGCTGTAACAGACTATGACTGATGACTCACACATGTACAGTATCCATCCATCGGGAGAAAGGCGGGGTACACCCTGGACAGGTCGCCAGTCCATCGCAGGGCCACACTCACATCCACACCTAAGGACAATTTAGGCGTCACCAATTAACCTAGCCTGCATTTCTTTGGATGGTGGGAGGAAGGCGTATACCAGCACTTCTATATTTTACTCTTTGGCGTACCGGGACTTTTTCTTGCACACAGGCACTTCTCACAAGCTGCCCGTACGCTTTTCTACTCTCTCCACCGGTGGAGACCGAGTATGGAAAAGGTCGAGTGATGATACACACGCCAACATGTGAACGCTCCGTACTTGTATAGCGCCTTTCTAGTCTTTTTGACCACTCAAAGCGC